ATAAGGGGGAGAAAAAAAGTCTCGAAAATTTTTTACACGTAGTAATTCATGTCATCATCCCAACTTTGTGATTGACAATGGACATATTTTTCTCGGCGTTTTGATAGTTCAAGTTAAAATGGGGAACAATCATTTGATCATGTTAATCAAAAAATGGAAACGTTTCTTTCTTAATGGTGATCTGTTACATATAAAGAAAGGTGTTCAACTTTTTAAGAGATGCGGGGTTTCCCTCAAACTTACTTTTTTTTTTTTTTGTTCACTTTGAATTATTGTCTCACTTTTTTTTTGGAATATATATATATATATATAATTTTTTTTATTTTCTTCAAACAAATTTTCGGTTATAATGGGTTCGGGCATTTCTCGATGTGTTTGTCCTTTTCAAAATTCGCATCAGCTGATAAATCCTTCACTTATCACCATTTCTCAAAAAACTACCACGTTGGTTCCCGACTTCAACAGTCAAAATGATAATATAAATTCCCTTACATTGATATTTGTAACAAACCTTATAAAAGAGGCCGAGCGCAAATTAAATTCTCATGAACGCAATAAATCAATCAATCTACTATTGAGAGCAACGCAACTGGGCTCCGCAAGTGCCGCAACGAAACTGGGTTCGATTTATTTGAATGGAATTGATAATGACTCGGAAGACACGGAAATCTCTCCAGATTATGTTTCTGCTGCGACGTATTATTTTGTATCTTTAAAACTTACTTTAATGATTCCTTATGCTTCATGGGATATTGAATTGATCCTCGAAACCGTCTCAGCCTTAACAAACCTATATTACAATCAATTAGGAGATCCCAATAATTTAGATATTTTAAATCATGGGGTGAAATTAATGGGTGAAATTGACAAGAATCTACAAGATACGTATTTCATGAGGATTTGTTCGTATAAGCAAACTCAAAGGAAAAGGGCATCTCGCATTCACATAAATTATTGTCGCGCGATAACCGCTGAATCAAAAGGTGACCTTTTAGAAGCCTTAAAAGGTTTCGAAGAATGTGAACTGATCGGACAATGTGGGATAGAAAGTGCCGATAAATTAATTAAAAAAGCAAATTCTAGTATGCATAGGTTAGATAATACAAGACCAAAAGTTCAACCAATTTGTGCCCAATGTAATTTTGAAGCTAAAGAATTAATTGATATCTGGAATTTATTAATTTGTACAAGATGTAAAAAGGTGACTTGCTGTAGGGAATGTCTAGACAAACATATAATAGGTCATCTGGGAAGAACTTAATCGAAAAGAATTTTATATATTTTTTTGTAATTTTTTTCCTTTTTCTTTTTCTTTTCTTTTTTTTTGTTTTTGTTTTTGTTAATTTGTAAATATTATTATAATTAAGTAAATAGAAAAAAAATGATCAAGTTACAAATGTTCGCGTGTTTGAATTGTGAAAAAAATATATATATATATAATGTTATATCCAATAATATCGAGGTACTTTTTTAGTCGTCCAAATTATATGATGATTCATATAAGTTTGGTAGGTGTCTAGCTCCTTATCAACAATCTCTTTAATGGTATGATTATATTCATCTTCGCTTATGCTCATGCATGAAGATAACCAAGGTTGCATTGAAAGATAAGACTCTTTTAAATTGGACGCCCATATTTCTCCTATTTTACCACCCCACCTAAAAAACAAAAATAATAATATTTGATTAGAGCTACGAATCTTTTGAAACGTGAACCTAATAAATCACGCTAATAAAGTACCCACTTTCCGATAGGTATCGAATGATATGATTCATTTATGTCTTCGAATCCAGCCAACTTTACAATTTCACCAAGTCTACACGCAATTCTAAAATCTATATCCCGTAACTTTAATGCCTCGTGTACTTTTGAAATAGAGGAAATTATCAAAAAATCAATGTGAACTCGAAAAAAAAAAAGTCATTTATAAGACATTAGATACTCACAACGATTAGATTGAACATTTTTCAATAAAGGTCCCGCAGACAATGCTTTTACAAATTGAATAGAAAGACATATATATAAATATATATATATATATATTTTTTTTTAAAAAAAAAAAACACTTATTATTAATTTAAATCTTACCATAACCGTCACTCTCTTGAAATTCTATGATACCCCCAGGTTTTAAAACTCTATGCATTTCTAGCAACAAATTTAACCAATTTTTACCTTTAATTTCGGTAAATAAATCCCTTGACCAAATATAATCAAAAGTATTATCAGCCCAAGGTAATCCAAATATAACATTTCCGGCAAGAAATTTACAATTATAAGGCTTAATCTTTGACGAAAAATTTGTGATTAAATCTATTCCAAACACATTTACATCCGGAAATTCATTAGCTATCTCTTCACACCATAATCCCAATCCGCATCCCACATCCTATGATGGTTCAAAAAAAAAAATGTTAGGTAATCTGTTTTTTTGTTTTTTTTTTAAAAAAAAAAAACGAAGTAAAACATTATCATAATTACCAAAATTTTTGAACCTGATTTGAGATGATGTATTAAAGGTGCTTTAAAATTTCCATTACAAATATGTTTAAGTGCAAAATGAGTTGAATGCGTTCTAAAACCTTCCTGAATTTTCTTTGGAAACTATTTTAAAATCGTATCGTATTAAAATACGATCATTAGAAAATTTAACCTAAATCTTTTTTTTTTTTAAAAAAAAAAAAATAAGTAAAAAAAAAAAAGGAAAAAAAGGGAAAGAATTACTCACTGCATAATTATCATCATCATCACCATCTTTTCCTTCTACAATGACCCAATCAAAATTTGGTTCCAATGCGGAATTAACATTCTCTTTACCTTTAATCTTTTCATTATAAATCAATTCTTCTCTAGATATCGTTGCACCCATTTTCCTTTCAAAATTCAATGATATTTTATAAGTGGATTTATTTTATTTACTAAGTAACGAAATGAACGCGTGATTATGTACGAAAATTGACCCGCGCAGTTTAATAAGTTTTCACTTGGAAATTCCATTCGGTTTGGCATTTATTTATAATAAAAAAAAAAAAAAAAAAGAATCAAAACAACATGAGATATTTTCCCTTTATTATTTATTATGAAACTTGTATAACGTGCTGCACTTTATAAAAAATTGATCATATGATTAAATATTAAAACACCAATTAAATAATGCAAATCTACTTTCGACAATGATATCATGGACTTTTTTTTTAAAAATAGATCCATGATTTAATAGAAAATGGTCGAATTAAATTAAAATAAAATTTTTCTAGTTTTCTTTAATCTTGATTTTATTCTGCTCCGGAAATATATTAAAATTACCCAATTTGGCCAAATTCAACGTAACCATTCCAAGAATGGCCAAAATTTTTCCTTGATTGATACTAAACAATTGTATCGTAAAATTTGTAACTTCATGTTCATTGGAAACAGTAGTTAAAGCGTAAAATAGAGCAATGTAAAAGCTAACTTTCATATCATAAGTTGGTTTAACAAATGCTGATGGGGTTGAAAAAGTCCAAGTCGGAGAAGTAACATTAAAAGCGGAGTCGAGAATGCCACCTCCACATCCACATAACGTTCCGCTAATCAATATAGCCACCCAACTAGAATTTATTGATTTATTGTCAATTCCATGAAACGATCCATATCTTACACTATCTACTCCCGAAGAACAAATCGCTAATGCACGTAACATTCCATCAACCGTTAGAAATATTATATTAAGTAAATCTGATGGTAATAATTTAATTATCCAATAAAGAGGTGGAACGTAATTTATTAAAGAATACATTGTCCTAAAAAAAGAAAAAATTATTTCACTTGTAAAAAAAAAAATAAAATAAGAAAATCGAAAGTTATTTACCAATAAGCTGTTATGATCGAATTTGAAGTAAGCCAACCTGGCGGTTTTCCTATAAGGATGTTACTTATTGTACTTCCTCCAACTCCCATTACTGATACCGCAAATAATCCTTGTAACCATGGTACTTGTGCTTCTTTTAGATTATTTTTGTAACGAAGTGATATAAATATGGCATGAATCGTAATTAGAATTCCAAAGGGAAAATAATTTTCATGCCAAACAATGTTCGGAAAACTTAAAATTATTTTTGAAAACGTTTCTGATAAACTTAATTCTTCTGACATTTAAAAAAAAAAAGTAAAAAAAATATAAAATAAATAAATAAATAAAATAAAATAAAATAAAAAAAAGCACATGCATTTTATAGACCAACTATGGATTAGCTAATTTCCACGTTTCATCGTTAGATGTCCAAACCATTGTCGATCACAGTTTCTCACTAAATAATTAGTCAAAAAAACCATAATAAATCATCTTTTTATCATTTTTTTAAACCTATGATAAAGTATAATTCAACCTATGAGGTTATTGTTAACGATCACAAACTAACCGTTTGTTGACAGTTACACAACCCAAAACGCCTTCCATAAAAAAAACTATAAAAAAAAGAAAAGGGGGGACCTTTTTTATAGATTTAAACACAAAAAAAAATATGACATTTCAAGAAAAAGAAAAAAATACCACCACCACTTTTCAAAAATTTGACCATCAAATTGGTGGTCATGATAGATTATTATCGGTGAATGATGGTTCCGTAGTCATTAAACCATGTAATGATATTGAAAAAGAATTTTATGAAAACAGTGTCTTACATCCTGATTTTGCTGAATGGATACCAAAATATTATGGTAGTTTACAACTACAAGGTGTGCAATCATCTGTTACCACCGATATCGCTTCCAATGAACAAAAAACTATCGAAAATTTCATTCAATCCGTTAAAGAAGAAATTTCTTCACAACATGCCAATGTTACTGGAGTTGATGATATCCTTTTAAATTGATTTATCTGTTTTATTATTATTATTTTTTTTTAAAAAAAAAAATATTATTCTTAACTTTTTTTTATTACAGGCCGTTTGTATAGAAAATCTTTTATCTTCGTTTAAAAAACCTTGTATTATGGATTTGAAGTTAGGAACACAATTATGGGGTGAAGACGCTGATGATTCTAAACGCCAGAAAATGATTCAAAAAGCTAATAAAACCACTTCGGGTTCCATAGGTATTAGAATAGTTGGCTTTCAGGTAAAAAAATATAAATAATTCATTGTTTTATTTATTTATTTTTTTTTTTAAAAAAACATTAATTTGAAATATACTATGACAGGTTTATCAAAGATCAACCGATAGTTATATCAACTTTACAAAAGAAGATAGTTACAAAGCTACCCCTGATACTGTACAGTCAATTTTATCAAAATTTTTTACAGCAGAAATATCAAATGATCATCGTCGATTAATTATAGAACGCTTTCTTAGTGATCTTGAATCTTATTTAAAAGTTTTAGAAAATCAAGAGGTTAGGTTGATTAGTTCTTCTTTGTTTTTTGTTTATGAAGGGGATTCCGATGCATTAACTGAAGCTATAAAGAAAGAGCAAGATGAGATCAAAGTAGATGATATAAATAATGGTAATGGTTATCATTATGACGAAGAGGAAGAAGAGGAGGAGGATAATGATGATGAAGATGAGTTAAAAGTTACAGATTTAAAAATGATAGACTTTGCTCATTCATTCTTTAGAAAAGGCATTGGAAAAGATGAAGGAGTTTTATTTGGATTAAGAAATACAATCAATTATTTTAAAGGGTTGTCTATTGAGGAGAAACATCATTAAAAATATTTTCCCGTTTATTTATTTAAGATTTCAACAGTCATTCACAGGAATTTTGACACAACTTGTGAAATAGGGAATTCGTATTCTTAATGAGTTTATATGGGCTGTTATAATGTAATAATTTATAATTATTAATTATAATAATTAATTTAATTTAATCGTTAAATAATTTAAATATACCTGTCAAATTCTACAACTTTTCCTTGATCTATAAAGAATAAAATCATATTAGCAGCTTAGAATCTATTATTTATTTTTAAAAAGAAAAACACTTTACGCTTTTCTCATACCAATGACTAAAATCCTGTCATAATCAATCACGGTACGTAATCTGTGAGCGATGCATAATACTGTACAATCCTCAAATTCGGTTCTAATCATCCTTTGAATTTTTTCATCCATAGCAAAATCAATACTAAAAAAAAATTACATAAATTTAATAAAAAAGTATAATGAGAATGAGGAAATTTTCTTATAATTAATTACCTGGCCGTAGCTTCATCCATTATAATGACTTTAGATCTTTTCAACAAAGCTCTAGCAAGACATAATAATTGCCTTTGACCTTGACTAAAATTCTTTCCTCCATCACAAATAGGTGTTTCTAAATTACAAAATATTTCGATATTATCTACTAAAGATGGATCATTTTGAACTTCTTCATCGGATGGTAATAAATGAACACGACGTAAAGAATCTAATATTTCATAGTCTTGATATATTGAAAATACATCGAGATTGCTTCTTAAAGTTCCTACAAAAAAAAACTCCCCCATTTTAATACTTGAGAAAAAATTTTTTCTACTATAAAAAAAGTTTTCTTTTTTACCCGTGAACAAAATTGGATCTTGTGGAATAATAGTAATTCTTGATCTAAGATCATAAACTCCGATAGATGAAATATCGATTCCGTCAATATAAATCTTCCCTTCATATGGTTCCATAAATCTAAATAATGTCAAAGCCAATGTTGACTTTCCGGACCCGGTCCTTTAAAAAAAATTTGATTAACTAAAAAAATCCAAATCCATGTAATTAAATCAATTACAATTTAATAGATTAATTTTTTTTTTTTACCTTCCAACAATCCCAACTTTTTCCTGACTTTTAACGCTAAACGAAACATTATGCAACACGGGATCTAAATCATGTGCATATCTCACTTTTAAATTTTCAACATCTATTGCACCATTATGTGGCCAACTGGCAGGTGGTCTAGGTTCAATAATTTCAGGAGGTTCTTGAGGAATTTCTGAAAACTCATTGATCCTTTCTATGGAATTTAAACTCATCTCAAGTTCCGTATATTTGTTAACGTACCACATGATCTGTTCAGTAAATTGCATAGCAAATGATAACGATAGACCGGCTAGACCGGGATCAACATGGTCTAAATTCGATAATAAAAGAATTCCTGTAATAAATGTGACAAATACTCCTGTTAAATTATATTTGATAGTTAACCAGCGTTTTATTAGCACTAAATAAAACTTTGGTCTATTATTATCATCAATTCTATTTAGTGTGATAAAAAAAAAAAGTTTAGAATCTTTCAGATTCAAAAAAACAAAAACTTAAAAAAAAACTAAGAAAAAAAAAACCTTTTCAACATTTCTTGCATAAACCTCCGAGTCGCGCCAAAAGCCCGTATGGTTGTGATCCCGCTACACGATAAGATGTTTTTTTTTAAAAAAAAGAAAACACGCAAAGTAAAAAAAAAAATAATAAAAAATAAAATAATAAAAGAAAAAGCCTACATCAAGGTTTCAGTAAAATGACTAAACAACGGAGACCTCGTCACCGAATCTAATCTTTTCAGTTCACGTGATGCATTCGTAAACAGCTTTCCAATCCACAAATAATAGAATCCTGTTGAGGATGATATAGATTAAAATTTCGATTATATCACATCAGGAAGAAATTTAACTAACTTACCCATAACAATGGCCACAAATAGAAATCCTAACAAATCAAACATTTTTTAGTAAGATTACGTGAATTATTATTGTAAAGAAAAGAATACCTTTTGTGATGGAGGCTATCACCAAAATCGTTCCGATAATCAAGAATATCTAAAGAATTTTGTTAGATTACAAAAACTAAAAAAAAAATAACTTACTGTAAATTATTGCTTACATTGTTTATATGCCAAGCAAGGTCCCCTAATTTTAAAAATTTAA